GCCCTGAAGACAACGTAGCTGCTCTTGTTCAGGACGGAGAACGACGACGTATTACTCAGCAAACTCATTCCCCATGTAACTCCCCCGTCCGTAAGCCCAACAAACCCCACCAGAACCGGGGGATGATGGTATATCAACATCTAGATGGCATTTTGACAGGAGGAGATTCCTCTGATAGGGTCTGGAGAAGGTGTAACCACAGCCCAGCCCATCTGGAAGCGAAGGGCGTCTCCTTCCCTGAAGGTGAATGGTGGGGACCCAACCAAACGGTTTCATTTTTAGGCGGAACGCGGCAGGCGGTGTGTTCCCTCCCACACCTCGCAGCAGACACCCAAGTTGAGGTCACCCTCCAATGAGAAGGAGCTCCTACAAGTCCTGAGAACTTCAAGACTCGGAGGAGCTTGTAGGGATCCTGTCGAGGCCACATCCCAGGGTTCGTTACAACTGCCCGACCCCTATATGACCACCTGCAGAAGTGCAGCTCCTGATGGTTACTCGTGAGGAGACACCTTGTTTCTTGATACGCAATGTTTTACATCATCAGGCCGTGGCCCAGCAGTACATGGAGACCCCTTCAGGCCATGTAGAGGACTCACAGAAGGAGGATGCCAATGAGGATTGTGGCAATGAGCTCCCAATAAAGCCCAATGAGCTTCCATACAGTTTGGGTCAAACTTGGGGTGGCAAAGGTTCCCCATCGTGGTGGTCACCTCTACTGGCTCCTTCCCTGTTGGATACCAGACCCATCGCTGGAGATGTATCTTTAAAATATGGACTCCTCTCCCTATCCTTGGAAGATTGGGAGAGCCCACTACTGCTCCTCAGGGAATCCCACAGCCCAGCGCAATCCAGAAGATGCTGATGGTCACAGCGCGCTGTGACTGAGTCAAGGGGGACACTCAGGAGACAATGTCTTGGTCTGATGACGGGCAGGTCTAGGGCACGGATCGGGGATCCAGGTGGAACCACCAAGCAGATCCCTTGTCCAAAGGACCTCAAAAGCACTGATGTTGATCTCCCGTGCAACACACCTCTGACAGCATGATGGTGGGCTGGCTATGTGCCCACCTAGGACAACCTGAAGGATAGTAGACGCTTGTGGTCCTCATGGCAAGTAAATTTTCTAAAATATACTCCAAATGAGTGGGGAGTATATTTTAACTGGGTGAGAGATTGGCAGTGGTTTAGGTATGATCTACCTCAAGCTTATGTGAAATATGTCATTTTGGGATTAGGACCACGGTTTGACCACCGTCAGGCAATGGATCATATTTCAAAACCAAAGATATATAGAGGTGGGCTGAAGCCAGATGATTTGGTGGATCTTGCACATCCCTCATCATCCCCAGCCCAATGGTTTTCCTGACCGGACTTCTTAAAACTCAACCAGAGTTTCACACTTGGACCAATGAGTCCCAAACCTCAACCAGGCCCTGCCTCTATCACGGGTGGCAATGTCACCTTGACAGTGTGGTCGCTGCTTTAGGCAACCAGTAGACCATGACTGGTCTTCATCGTCCGATCTGGAAAGCTTTTGATGGCAACCATGGTGAAATTTCAACCTCGGGTATAAAAGATGATCACCAGCTGTCCGTTGGATGTACCGTCCAGTTTAATCATCTGCAATATGACCATTCTCCTTCCAAACATCACTTTGAAGGTCCACATGGAAGGTGGTCAGCCATCAGGGAAACGAACATCTTGCTTCCGAGAGGTGGATAGCCAAACCGCCTGTTACTTAGGTTGTCTTCCCTGGATCCTCGGTCCAACCTTATTCCTTACCCCGACCGCTTGTTGGGCAATTAGCCTGGAGTCAAACCCAACTTGCGGGAAAAGAGGAGTACCAGATTACGAAGGATTTTGGGGGAAAAACTCCTTTAATTTCCCTTGCCTCTCGTAATCGTTATCCTATAATGATGGAGTCACATCTAGCAATGACAATAATGCTTCTTCCCTTCTCCCGGGGATGGGACGGCAATTGCGTCATTCAAATTACGAATGCGATTTCTCCCGTGGGTGACGGATCAGGTTGTCGGTGTTGCTTCACCACCCACCGCCGTTAGATGCTGAATTTGGGTGAGCAGCAGAACCCATCCCCAAAGCACCCTGGTACCAACCTCATTTGAGATAATTACTCCCCAGCACCCCAAATTACAGACCGCAGCATTCCGAAGCGTTACGACACCCCAAGGCACAAACTCAGCCTGGGCAGGGAAGAGGAGCGGCGGTAATTACACTCCGCTCGGCAATCACACCCAACTTAAACGGGACAAACGAACAGCAGCTCCTAATGATCCTCACCTGGACACTTCATGGACCTCTGATAATTAATCCCCAATTACAAATGGTGATTTTTTTAATAATCTGGAACTCTGGCATCTGACACGGGGCGTTAATAATATGAATTGCCAAAGGTACAATAATTTAACCAGTCCTAATTTTCACCAGTTTACAGCTTAATGGGTGGCTGGACACTAACGATGGTTGGGACACACGTGGCCCAGAAGACGTATCTGGGTGTACAGTTCACAACCTCTTTTGATCAATCCAATTAAGTCCTTAATGAAATTCAGTTGCTCTTCCAACCCATGGTGCTCAGTTGGTCAAGACCACGATGATCTTGGGCGAAGGTGGTGGCCCACCATCTGAAGACCCTGGTGGTTCTCACTTGGTGGCACTAACACCTAGAAGATCCCATGCCCGTGGTGGGCAGATGACTGCCCCATGGCATTTCTTGGTCCTTATCTAAAAATTTCATATGTAACTTCCAACACAACCATCGCCTTGGCCATAATTAGTGCGTAGACTCTCTTCTGGTCTGGAGGTGTTTGTGTGCTAATAAATATTACTTGTTGGTTTTCCACTAATGAATCTAAACAAATCAAATATGACACAAACGCCATTCAGCACCACGTCACCAGGAGCCACCCCTGCTTGAGGTCTGCCGCTGACATCAGTTGACACATGGCCATGGTCTTGGCCACCAGACCTGGGAGCACGGACACGGCATCGTTTAGTGACCTCGGCTCTCCTTCTGTCTGTGGGGGTGGTGGGGTTTGGGTTATGTTTGTATCAGATCGCTGTTATAGTGGCGGCTGTGGCACCCTCGTGTCTTAATTGATGAACCCTCACAGGACCTAAAACAACAGCATCAGGCCGGTGTGGGTAGGTCTCCTCCTCCTCAGGCATCAGGAGGCCAGAGAGATGCCCCCAGGACACTGTGGTCTCACTCCTGGTGACCCACAGGAATGCTGTGATCTACTGCTGATGACCCACAGGGATGGTGTGGTCTCACTCCTGGTGACCTACAAGGATGGTGTGGTCCCACTCCTGGTGACCCACGAGGACCCCCAGGTCTCACTCCTGGTGACCCACAGGGACACTGTGGTCTCACTGCTGGTGACCCACAAGGATGGTGTGGTCCCACTCCTGGTGACCCACAAGGACCCCCAGGTCTCACTCCTGGTGACCCACAGGGACACTGTAGTCTAACTCCCGGTGACCCACAAGGATGGTGTGGTCCCACTCCTGGTGACCCACAAGGACACCCTGGTCTCACTGGTGGTGACCTCAGAGACTCTGTAGTCTAACTCCTGGTGACCCCCAGGGATGGTGTGGTCCCACTCCTGGTGACCCTCAAGGGTGGTGTGGTGCCACTCCTGATGACCCCAGGGATGGTGTGGTCTCACTCCTGGTCACCCCAGGGATGGTGTAGTCCCGCTGCTGGTGACCCCCAGCGACACTGTGGTCCCACTCTTGGTGACCCCCAAGTGGCCATAGGCCAAGGGGTGGAGCATTGGAGCACCCATAAAGGCGACCCATGGAAAAACACCAGTGGAGGAGGATTCCCACTGGCGTGGGGACCCGGCACTACCTCGACCAACACAACGGGGAACCGAGGACATCCTTGACGAGCACAGAGCAGAGACACCGCGCTAACGAACCATCCGGCTGGGAGAGCAGAAGTCAGCACCTCAAAATGGCGGTGACACCTCAAAATGGTGGTGACACCTCAAAATGGCAGTGACACCTCAAGATGGCGGTGACGCTGCAAAACTAAACGCAGATGTGTCCATCTAAGTCACTAATCATAAGTACCCTTCTTGTTTTATTAGTGGTAATTTGGAATAACGAGTAATATTCAATATATATTTGCTTTTTTGGGAGTAGTTTTGTAATAACTCCTAATGCCCTCTTGCTTTACTCATCGCTGGTAATTCCTAGCGATTTGGAATAAAGAAATTACAGATTGCTAATAGCAATTAGTCATAGTAATTACTAGCAGTAATATTTAATATTACTATTCATCTGTATTATTACTATTAATATTAGTCTGTATTATTACCGCTGACAGTACTGTTAGTAATTACTGATACCAATAGTGTTCTACACTATAGTCATAGCTGACAGTAATAGTCACTAATAGTAATAGTAATTAATAACAATAGTAATTTATAGTCATTTTAATAAAGAAATTGATGGAAACAAAGCCACCGAGTCGGCGTGCCTGGTGGGACCCACGAACCTGCGAGCGGAACCCCTTGAGGATTTTGGGGTGCGCGGGGGGCTTTGGTGGGACCCCCCTGCTGGACCCCTCCCGGGTGGGCGGGAGGGACATCCTGCACCTGCAGGACAGTGGTGGGGGCAGGACGAGGAACCCCCGTCACCAAATGACCGTCCGGGAGCCGACCTCCCACACTCCCCCACGGCTCTGCACCAAAAACCATAGAAAGAAATCACTCGTCACCTGCCCAAAATGAGCTTCTCTGCAGGAGCTTCCACGCCGGAGGAAGATATTTAGATATTTAGATATATTTAGATATTTAAATATTTAGATATTTAGATATTTAACTATTTATATTTATAGCTGTGCACAAGTAAAAGTTCGCAAGTCTGTACCTGCTTCATTCGGCTCCACGTCCCAGTGGTGACCAGTGACGAGTGGTGTTCCTCCAGGGTTGATACTGGCACCGGCGCTGTTCAACATCTTTGTTGGCGACATGGATGTTGAGATCGAGCGCACCTTCAGCAAGTTTGCCGATGACACCAAGCTGTGTGGAGCAGTTGACGCGCTGGAGGGGAGGGATGGCATCCAGAGGGACCTGGACAGGCTGGAGAGGTGGGCCCGTGCCAACCTCATGAAGTTCAACAAGGCCAAGTGCAAGGTCCTACATATGGGTAATCCCAAGCACAAATCCAGTGTGGGCAGGGAATGGCTGGAGAGCAGCGCTGAGGAGAAGGACTTGGGTGTGCTGATGGACCAGAAGCTCAACATGAGCCGGCAATGCATGATCACAGCCCAGAAGGCCAACCGCATCCTGGGCTGCATCAGAAGTGTGGCCAGCAGGTCAAGGGAGGGGATTCTGCCCATCTGCTCTGCTCTGGTGAGACCTCACCTGGAGTGCTGCCTCCAGCTCTGGAGTCCCCAACAAAAGAAAGACATGGACCTGGTGGAGCGGGGCCAGAGGAGGCCCCGGAGATGCTGGGAGGGCTGGAGCCCCTCTGCTGGGAGGACAGGCTGGGAGAGTTGGGGGGATTCAGCCTGGAGAAGAGAAGGCCAAAAAGGGGAGACGTCAGAGCCCCTTCCAGTGCCTAAAGGGGCTCCAGGAGAGCTGGGGAGGGACTCTGGATCAGGGAGGGGAGCCGTGGGAC